GCGTGGCGCTCCCGCCGCTGTGCTGGCACTCATGCCGCGAGGTAAATGATAAATATGGGAAGCGAAGGTATCATGAGGCGAGTTCCCATAGACAAACAAGCTCGAACAGGGCAGCTGACTCGTCAATGACCTTGTGGTTAATCAGGACATGGCAGCCACAAATGTCGTTTTCGGCATTGCCGCCGCATCCATGGCTTGTCTTGCTGGTCTTGTCACACCCGGAAAACGTCGGCAGTGACCTTTGCCTCAGCGGCAGATTCACCTCGACTTGGTCAATACTCTCTGGTCAGAAAACGGTTTCGAGGATATGCTCGATCTTCGAGATGAAAATTGTATTAAGTACGGCGGAATTACACCGCGAGATCCGTAACATGCTCCATCACGAATTTCTCGCCATATGTTCTCCGCCAAGCGCCGGAGCGAACCCCTACAACCGGGCCGCCCTACCCTGCCGCGTGGTCTTGAGGGCGTACCCAGTTCAGCCCAGCGGCGCTTGTCCAACCCTGGAAAAGTCGGCTTGTAAGTTTTGTTTAAGAGACAGGCGGTCCCGCCGACCGTGAAGGCAAGTGGCGTAAAATCTCTCCAGCAAACCACGCTGGCCCCGTTGTTCGAGTCAGTCACAACTGGGTCCGGCCACTGGTGTTACGCGAGAAGATCCACTGGAGTGCCGGTTTCCACACCTGCGATCTGCCATTAGGCGTAGAACTACAGGCGAGGATGGCCGAGACGGAGGCTCCTGGTCTGGAAAGAAATCTTCACACATTATTATCCTTTCGCCTGGCCCGAGGTCCACACCATGGCTAGGATATGTTCCTGGCTAGCTCTGATGATACCATTCTGTGGCTCCGGTGTCGCCATCGTGAAAGAAAAAAATTGATCTGACTTGGAGCCTACTTGTACTGCATGTTGCGGCAATCTGGATGAATGGATTGCTTATACGCTGGACCCTCTCTAGCCACCCAAACTTGACGTAACGGCTTCCATTCTATGACCAAGCCAGCAACTGAACAAGGTTTGCAATTGGAAGCTTAGATCACCATGGCGCGCCATTCTCACGACGGAGTTGACCACATCTCTCCGGACATCGAGCACGCGGCTCCGGACTACCACGCGGACAGCGATGACAAGGAAGCCATTCTACCGCCGCAGCTCGGCGTCGGCGGCCAAGGTGGCACCCAGCGCCACCTCCGTGACTACCAGGTCACGATGATTGGCTTCTGCAGTGGCATCGGTACCGGTCTGTTCATCGGCACCGGCTCGGCGTATGCGCAGGCCGGCCCGGCAGGTCTGCTGCTCGCGTACATCATCGTCGGCGCTGTGCTTTGGTGTGTTATGCAGAGCATCGGTGAACTCGCTACTTTGGTGAGTGAATACTGCTTCTCAATCATCGGGAGCCAAACCTGACTCTTCAGATTCCAACGGCGGGTACCTTCCCCCACTGGGCAACACGCTTCATCGACCCTGCAGTCGGCTTCTCGCTGGCCATCTCATATGGCTACTGCTACACCATCTCGATCGCCGCCGAAGCTTCTGCATCGGCCATCCTGGTGGCGTACTGGACAGACATGACGCCGGCCGTCATCATCACCATCTCCCTCGTGCTGATTCTGGCCATCAACCTCCTGAATGTACGATGGTATGGCGAGGTGGAAGTCTTCAGCGGTTCGGTCAAGGTGCTCTGCTTCCTTGGCCTTATCCTCGTGTCCATCGTCATCACCTCCGGAGGTGGACCGACAGGCGAGGCTATCGGATTCCGGTACTGGAACAACCCGGGCCCCTTTGTCCAGTACAACGACATCAAGGGAACGACAGGCCAGTTCCTCGGCGTCCTGTCCGCCTTTGTCAACGCATCCTTCTCCTTCATCGGCGTTGAAACGGTGGTCATTTGCGCAGCTGAGTCGATCAACCCCCACAAGGCGATCCCGAAGTCTACGAGCCGCGTCACATATCGTATTGGACTTTTCTATATTCTCGGTGCTCTGCTCATCGGTATCATCGTGGACCCTCGCAACCCAGACCTCATCTCGGACGCTGGCAACGGCAACGCATCCCCCTGGGTCATCGCCATCAGGCAAGCTGGTATCTCCATTCTGCCGTCAATTGTCAACGCATGTATCCTCGTATCGGCATGGTCTGCCGGCCTCTCGTACTGCTGGGTCGGCTCACGCATGATCGTCGCCATGACCACTGACGGCCAGCTGCCCAGCTTCTTCGGCCGCACATGGTCTAACGGTGTGCCCTACGTCGCCGTCATCACGGCCTGGCTCTTCGGACCTCTCGCATACCTCAGCCTGGGCTCCGGCGGCGCGGGTCAGGCGTTCACGTGGCTGCTCAACCTCAGCACCGTGTCGGGTCTCATCGCGTGGGCGACGCTCTGCTTCTGCTATATTCGTTTCCACCGCGCCATGAAGGTGCAGGGCATCAGCCGTGACACTCTGCCGTGGAAGTCGCCATTCCCAGCCTTACACGGCGTGGTTCGGCTTCATCGGTGCCACCATCATTACTTTTGTCGCCGGCTTCCCCGTGTTCCTCAAGGGCAACTGGTCGACTGCCGATTTTATCGCGTCCTACATTAGCATTCCCATCTTTATCGTGCCCATTATCGGCTGGAAGCTGTGGCATAAGACCAAGGTATGTCGGTCATCGTTTGGAGTTGTGGTTCAGAGATGCTAACATGGGACAGTTCCAACGTGCCGCGACGATTGATTTGTGGTCGGGTCGTCTGCACGAGTCGCAGCAGCCGCCGCCCAAGCCGATTGCAACGGACTTCAAGGGCAAGGTCCACAACTTCTTTTCATGAGCGTGCTGCATATGTTGCTTGGTGTTTTCCAGGCAGGCTGGATTGATAGCGTTCCATGGTATTTGTACAGTAGACTGGATAGATTTCCGAGTAATCGCTTCCAATGAAGGAGATTTGACACAAGCCAGTGGCACCACCAATGTCATGTCGAACATGCGAGCCTACTGTGAGGACTGATCAATCCAGGGATTGGGGGACTGAACTGACGGAGATCCGAGCGAGCTGAACACGGTTCCATTGGACAATTGACCATGGATCAAGGGATGTTGTCTCACCCAGTGAGTGTTCCATCTTCAATGGGTCTCGGGGGGGGGGGGGGTTTTTTAGGCAAAGCGCGGACCTCACGTGCTGTCATGCCAGATCGCGGTAAGTCGTGGGTGGGGCGAGGCTTACTTTTGGACCAATTACAGTGGTCGACCAGGTGATCCTCGAACTCAGTGGGCAAGCGCGACAGGATCCCCATGTTCATGGGCGCTTCCCCGTGTAAGGTGCAGTCGTGGGCCGTTCCTTCAACCTTCCATACCTCCATCCAGCCTACCATAACCTTGCCGCTCTCTCTCTACTCTCCCCTCTCTCTCTCTTCAGAGTCAATTGATGGGCCAGATTCAGTTCTAGGAAACATCACAGCTCTCCATCAATCATTTACTCTTTCTATTTCTGATCTCCGCGCTCCTTCTCCCAGCAAACGTCCCGCACTTCGCCGCGTCCTTCCATCTGTTATACTCGACCCGCAGACCAGCCAGCAACAAGCTGCCGCCGACATTGCATCGTACATCCTGAAAATGGAGTGCTCCAATTGCAAGCGCAATTTTGCCTGGCATCTTCACGGCCGGGACGGCTGCCATTACCACAGTGGTACGTCCAATTCCTACCCTCCCTAACCACCCCCAAACTCCACCTCAGTCAGGCCACTGACAACCGCCCCCCCCCAGGCTTCCTCCAGCCCATGGCCTCGACATCCGACGACATGATGGACACGGAACCCACCATGGAAGACTTTCTTCAGAGCCGCCGATGGTCCTGCTGCCAACAAGCGGGCAACAACCCGGGATGCAACTGGGGCCGCCACCAGCTCCGCCAACCACGGTCCCTGGAAGCCCCGGCGGGCGTGCGCACCGGCGGCAACGCGTTCCACAGCGCGAGGGGGATGAAGAGGCGGAGCTCCGACGACAGCGACTCGGACAGCAGCAGCGGCAGCGGCGGCGAGTCATCGACCGGCTCGCGAAACATGGCCACGGGGTTTGGCGTCAAGATGCGAAGGCTTGACCGGTGGGACAGCATAGGCGCCGCGACATTACGCGACGGCCGGCAAGAGGGGACTTTGTCGTTTTTCGCAGGGGCGCATTCGGGATAAGTTTGTTTCGGCTTGTGTAGAACTTGGTACAAACAGGGTACCATCGGCAATAGGCGTCAATTTGACGGGGCTTGCTATGCTCGCCTGGCCTCGGATGAGGCGACGGAGCAATGTTTTCGGCCGCGTACTCGGGAGAGGTTTTCGGCCGTGTACTTGGGAAAGGTAGTTTCGGGACGAGCCCTGCTCACAGCAGAGGCCTGGCTTTGACACCGGCAACGGTCTGTATGGAATAGGGATCAACAGGAGTAATTGGAAGCAAGTCAAGTCATCGATTTATCGCCTCGTCGCAGCACGTCTTGTACTGTCTGCTACATTGACCAATTTGAGCAGAGCGGACGGAATGAGTCCATCTTGGTGGCCGTGAAAGTGAACACCCTGCGCACTGCCACTCACGAAAGGTCTCACAAGAACCTTAAAACGCATATTCGCCGTCTTCACTCATTCAACACAGGCACTGCATCCAACCCCAAGATTTCATTATTCATGCTCATTATTATTGGTGCGCTTTGTGTGTCTATACATTAGGCTGCGGGCAACGTCCGAGTCGCACGAGAAGCTAGCAGCAGCGTCTGCGTTTAGGCAAAGGCCCAGTAGGCGAGCTCGTACATGTACGCCAGCGCCATCTTGGCGTGCTCATTGACGTGATCAAACGAAACGTGCTGCATCGTGTCGTTGGGCGTGTGGATGTACGGGTTGTGGTTGCCGAACGGCGCCTCGAAGATGAACGACGAGGGGAAGCCATTCCGGTTGGCGGAAGCGTGGTCGGAGCACGCGTAGCCGCAGACCGTCTCCTCGTAGGGAATGTTGGTGAACTGGCCGATGGCCTTCTTGAGGAAGTCGTTCTGGCTGGCGTCGGTGAAGTCAGTGACGAGACCGAAACGCTCGATGCCGTCACGGCCAGCGTAGCCGACCATGTCCTGGTTGAGCATGGAGACGACCTGGCGGTTGAGAGTGCGGTACTGGGTAAAGATGTCTTGGGAGCCGAGCAAGCCGGCCTCCTCGGCACCGTACCAGTGAAATTCGAGGGTGTTGAGGATGTCGCCGTCCTGAACACGCTTGTCCGAGAGGACGGCGCGCAGCACCTCCAGGTTCATAAGCGAGCCGGAGCCGTTGTCGTCGGCACCGGGAGCACGGCCGGTGCCGCGATCGCCCGAGATCACGGAGTCGAGGTGGGAGCCAAGGATGACTGTACGCTGGTTGCGGCCGGGAATGGTCACGATCAGGCTGGGCTGGGCCCAGGCGACGTGGCGGACGTAGCGGAGGTTGACAAATGGAATACCGCTGTCATCAATGGCTTCCTTGATCTGGTCATGCAGCCAGTCGACGGCCTGGACGCCCCAGTTGGAGAGGTAGTAGCGGTTGTGGAACGAAGAGAACTTGGTCAAAAGTCTCTCGATCCTCTCCATGTCAAGCTTGGGAATCAACTCGTCGATGGTGCACTTCTGGTGGAACTTGTCGGGAAAAGGCAGGGCCGCAGCAACGGCGAGCCTGTTGGCCGACACCTCCTTGTCCTGGAACTCAGTGATGTCGAAGAAATGGGCGCCCCTCTGTTGCGGGAATCAGCACGGCGCTGCACAAGGATCGGATGCCTGTCGGCAGCTACTTACGTCCATCATCTCAAACTTCTGCTCCTCGGTGACCTCAATAGTGACACCAGGGGAGGTCTCCAGCGTCAACATCTTGACAGCACGTCCGATGGGAGCAGTAGCAGTGGCCGAAGCCACGAGGGCAGCGAGTACGGGGACAGAGTAGCGCATACTGGTGATAATGACTATCGTTCTCGGGGATTGGGGGTGAAACTTGGAGATACGAGGTTGTCAACACAGTCAGACCTGGAGATCCTGAGGAGATGCCGAGAGCTTCCGAAGCGTCACAGTGGGAGGCACGAGCTTCATATAAGGCTCGCAGTGCCTGCTTTCTGCCTTCATGTATTCGACACCCACTGCTCAGCTCCATTGTAGCACCCCCGCTCCTGCTCGCCCCGTTGTCTAGGAGCCCGGGGCAACGATGCTGCCAACGGTCCCAGTTGAAAGAGCTACACTGTAAAAGGAAGCTCATTGGCATCGGCTTGCTGCGGGCACAGCTGACGGGCATCTCAGAGCAGGGACCAAGGCCGAGCTTCCAGAATGGAGGATACTCCAGTTGACAAAGATATCCTGTGGCGTGTGCAAGGTACCTTGCCCGTGTGCGTCCAAATTCGTTTTCTCCCCGCATCGGAAGCGACGCTGTGGAACCCTTGATGAGCATGTTTTTGATGAGCATGTTTTCAACTCAGAAGCAGCATCGGCAGGCGTTTTCTTCCACAAAGAAGCTGGTGCGAGTTGCTGCTGATTTGGTCCTGGCTCTCATGCTTTTGACTCTTCTGTTTCTTCGTTGATCAGAGGAACTTTCTTGAGTGTCATCGCGTCCACAACTGGAGACTCGCACAGCTCAAACGCCGTGTCATCGAAACACCACAACCCGTATCAGCCTTGTTGGGCGCAAGGAACACCGCCGGTCGGTGTAGCGGCACGCTTCCGACAGGCCATCCACTTGGCAGCCGTTTGAATGAGGAAGGTGACTGGAGGAGCCAAGCCGTTCAGGCCAGGAACCGATGGCGACTATTGGCGTTCGGATGCTTGGTTGTGCGGGGAAACAAGCTTGGCATGCATCTGCAGTTGTTGGCCCATGATCCGAATGGGAAGGCTGACAATACCGCCAAGGGGACTTTGGTCCGGCCGACCAGGTCAAGAGGCATTCGCACTGCCTCACTGTGTTAACCGACGATTGATGGAAACTTGGCTCGCATGAAACTGTGTGTCCAATACTTCAACGCCGGGGGACCGACTTGACCATGACTAATGTGGTCTGGCGGCGGCATTTTTCGCTACTCTGGCGTCAAGTAATACGTTACGCTTGTTGATCCATGGTTCGATCTTCGGCCCGGGCTGAAATGCGAAAGTTGGGTGAGAAACGTTTGTGTGCCCGTCAACAGGGGTGTTGGGCGGTCCTCGATATCGTCGGAAGAGGAACCAAGTGGAATGGGAAGAGCTGAAGCACTGAGCGGGAGTGTCTCAATGTATAAGTAGTCGCATGACATTGGGCCATCAAGGTTGACGGACTGTTCCTGCATATGTCTTGTCGAACGAGGCGGAACATTTGGGCACGCCATCGCTACCTAGGTTCGTGTGTTGGGGTTGTGGACGCGCCAGTGGCTGGCCGCCACCGAGTTAATCTATCCTCATCGGACGCCTTCGGTTGCCCATATCAAGACAGGCGAGCCTCAAATGTCCGCGCGTGGGTTACATTGCATTGTTCGGGTGGAGGTGCAGCAGTGACGAAGTTGTTTGGAAATGACTGTTTTTAGTGATGGAGGGTGGTGGCCAGTCGGGCGGAAAGAAACCCAATAGCGGTTATCCACGCTGTTGTGCGTATGGGATCTCCGTCGTGAACACATGCATCGCACACTTCTCTGTCTCCATTGCTGTTGGAGACATACCAGTCACACCACTTCGACCGGCAGCCAGCGAGCATTCAAGTCGCTCTGGCGAATGCTATCTGAAGCCTCGCTTCATTTGAACGTCGTCCTGAACTACATAATTCATGCAATTGCTCAAAGTCCTCGACCTCTCTCTAAACCCTCATATCCGGGTCCTCGTACACGTCCTGGTCTCGAGCCTTCACGCTCACCGGGAACTGCTGGCTGAAAGGGCAATCAATGTACCCTTTGAGTTTCTTGGGTAGATAAAACGTTGCGCGGCCAAAGGGCTCGAGATTCACGCCCAATAGCACCCGCTACACCTGATCAGGATTCGTGATGAAGTACCGACCAAAGACGGTTGCAACATCCTACTTTCTTGCACACCTCACCAACCGCCTTTCGCGCTATGTGCGACTGGAAACCGCCTGCTAGCAGCTGAGGACTCACATCGTTCCAAAAAGCTCGACCATCTACTGAACAGTCTTTTGGCCACCACAATCAGCGTCGTCGTTGCCATTGATCATGGCCTCTGTGGGGTGCAGATGTGCCAACCCAAGGGGCTAAAACTGCCCCAAGGGATACCGGCGGAAGCTCAGGTCTGGGTTCTCCATGAGCATGCCGCCAAAGTCACTCGGAGGGCTCAGGTGTATAGCCGTCCTGTCTACACTTACCGCCGTGACGAAAGCCTTCGTCACCTCGACGTGAAAACTTGCACAATACTCAATACCCTCGCCCCACGCGTCAGTCTTCTTGTTGCACGTCGTCTGGAGAGACTGATCGCAGAGGTAGCTGTTGGCACCATGGATCACGACACCGTTGACGCCCGCAGTAACGGCGTTTATCGCGGCGGTCACGTACTGTTTGCTTGCCTGTCAGTTTGCTTCCTCGCTCATTGTCACCGGCACCGGACCTTCGGCGTTGATAGGTGCCGCGCTTTTCGTAGTACTCTGGAACGATTCTGTTAGTGGTCTGCGTTTTGCTTCAGGTCACGTTGTCGTCACGCACGTTCGGGGATTGGCCTTATTGTCCAGTGGTCCTCACGACGATAGCGAGTCACGGTGCCATCGCCAGACGATTTCCTACCTCGACAAACCCGATCAAAAGAGGTCGTGAAAGCCTTGTTATGGTTTAGGTACATGGGTGCCTGACTTGATGAGCCTGCAGTCGCAATGTGTGCTTTCATTGGGCTACGTTGCAGGGCATGTCGTGAGTATCAATCAGATACCCACGATTGAATCCTCATCCAACCCAGATTCACGTCGGAACTGCTAGGACCATGTAGCGTTCTTGTTTTCGAGGGGACTTTTGGCCGCGGGGGTTTAGAGCTTGAGCCGAAGTCCATGCCTGTCAGGATCTTCCCTACACGTGATTCATTTGGATTTCGAACCCATACGCGGGCAACCAAGGCCGCAAGCACGGAATCGTACGCGAGAAATTGACTCAAGTACCCACGTTTGGAGGGAATCAAGTGCAGAAGCCTGTGTGGTGTGTACGCTGGACCTATTTCCCGAGGTACACTGTTTGAGCGCGCCATATCACTGTGATGTGAGAATATAACGCGGCGGAGAAAAGATGACGGAAATGTTGTAGCCGCTACCATCCGAGACATTCTGTTGGTCTGTCGGCAGATCAGCGCGGAAACCATATGACAGATTGACATGATGTTACCTTCGAAACGTTGTATTCCCGATATCAGCACGGTATGCTCTACGTTCTCGCTGGAGAATGTCGCTCCTGGGCACAATGATCAAGCTTGAACTAGCTACAAGTAGGCTGAAAATGGGAGCTTATTCGACCGCCTCACAATCTGCTCGATCAATTCTGCCTGAGTCATGATGAAAGCTTTAGTGCCGTACCGCGTAGTTTCTAACTATGGCCTGATCGATCGTGCGGAAATCAGTGATTCCTCTAGACTTGGACCAATATATTCTTCTTGAGCTAGTCTCATTCTCTATACATGGCTGCGGCCTTGGCAGCGGAAATAATTTCTGGCGCAACTAGGAGAGACAAGAGCGGTGGAAGCTCACCTTCTTCTGAGGCCATGAACAAACGAAGATGTACAGTGAACTGGCTGAGACGCGGCGATGCGGTAAGGACAGAGATCGGTATTGCAAGGCAGAGACTGGTGACGAAGGGTAGAAACCAAAGCCGGGGGAGAGCATCCTGAATAGAGAGTAGGCCAGCGATGCTAAAACCGAGGAGAGTCTGCGGCCAAAGGACACGAAGGCTATCGCGCCAGCTAAGGCCAAGACGGTCGCGGTTTTGGCCGTCCCATGTAGTCGACTTGCCACTAAGCATGCTGAGGAGGTAAACCATGATCGCTAAGTCTATGGCGGGCCCGATAAGGGCCATTATGACGAGTTCCAGCAGGACAGAGACAGCCCAGCGCAAGTGGCCACCACAGCGCTTGAAAGAGGTTCCAGCAGTCTCGAAACTACCGACGGCTTTAGGTATCAGGCTAATACCTAGGATGAGTAATTGCGGCCCGGGGTTGTACTTGAACTCGGCATCGTTATATCCGCCTGATACCCCTTTAGCGATGCTAGCCAAGGCTAATAGGAGCCTGAAAGCTGGGCCGATATATGAAGAAATAACGTGGTACACATGGTAACGGCTGACAGGCTTGATGCCGGGGTCCAGTAGCATGAACCAGTACTGCATGCTGCCCTGGCACCATCGATGCTCACGGCGCAGGTAATCGAGAAAGGTCGGCGGGCTAGTCTCGTAGCTGTGGACGTCAAGAGGGATCATCCGAACTTCGTAGCCAGCACGGCGCATAAATATAGCCTCCATAACGTCGTGACTAAGGATGTGACCACCTAGCGGAGGCTTGTTGGGGAGAACAGGTAGCATACAGTTCTCGTGGAAGGCCTTTATGCGGATAATGGCGTTGTGGCCCCAGTAAAGCCCGCAGTCGCCAAACCACCAGCTACTCCCAAGATGACGGAAACGCAGACCATGACGTCTTCCGAACTGCATGAGGCGGGCAAAGGCACTGACGGCTGGAACAGTAAGGAATTGGGATTGCAACAGGCCGAGCCGAGGGTATTGTTCCATGCTTGAGACCATGCGAACAAGGAGGTCTCCACCCATCACGCTGTCAGAATCGAGCGTAACAAAAAAATCATCGCCCTTGCCATGGTTGACGATGTAATCCATGATATTGCCGGCTTTGTAGCCAGAATTCTTCATGCGGCGACGGTACAGGGGCTTTTGACACATGCCGCTGCCGAGGCTATTTTGAAAACTAGAGAAAACTCGGTCTTCCAGTCGCATTATATCCGGACGGCTAGTGTCACTGAGTATGACGAAGCGGAAGTGCTTAAGGTAGTTAATTTGGCGCAGGCTTTCTCGTATAGCGTAGAGGCGGTGAAAAACCGGGATCGGGTCTTCATTACGCATACAGATAACCAATGCCGTTTTCGAGGTGATTTCTGGAAGAGGACTGATAGCATCAAAGTAGGGGTAGACAGACTTTTCTGGCTCGCCGAAAGTATGGAGGCATAGGCCTATCATGTGGTTCCAGCAGATAATGATATAAGGAGGTGTACAGATGGTAGCACAGAAAAGGATGAAGGCCTCTAGGATTGTAATTCCGCCTGGTGTGAACATCGTAAAGGTAGTCCATAATACGTAGAATATCGAAGTGATGTTGATGGCGGCGACTACTATACGGCGATGAAATATTGGCATGCCAGCCGTTCGGATAGGTGTAAGGATATTGTTACTCATCTCCGATAGTTCGTTTATTGTCCGTTCCGTTCATTATTAAGGGTTTTTGGATGGTCACAGTTCTCACACCAGCAGATCAAAGGATAGTTATAGACATATTCAAACAAGGAATCTCCATGGGCAACAATACTGTCACGGCAAGAGCATCAAATTTCCGACGCTAGGACCCAAGGTGAAGCGGGTAACAGAAACCAATATCGAATCTTATAGAAACGAGGATCTCTTGTAGTACTGACTTGAAGTTTGTTTTTATTCTTCGCCTCTGAAAATTCCCTTAGTTTTCTCCCGGATAAAACTGCCTCGTATCACAGAGGCTTCTCAAGCGGAGGCTTTCAAGGCGAGTCCTAATATTATCTTTCAGTCTTACGATTGAGTTACTGAAAGTTAATTATGGTTGCCTGTCCAAAAGCATGGACCCTTTGACATGTTGGGCGTACACTTCGGGCCTCTCCGCCTCGCGTATAAAGCTTACTATCCATATTACGAAAGCTTGATAAAGTACGACGCGCGGCATACAATGTGCTGCTATACAATGAGAATGAGGCCTTTCGCCTTCAGTGGGGTTGAGAATCTTCATAGTGCCGATGTATAGTGAAGCAGGTAAATTAGGGTGGTCTCGGATTTCCTGTCCAGGTGCCTGGCGATGCTTTAATCATTATGGATATAGACCGCGTCAAATGTTTCGGTAGTGATAGGCTTTACTTCATCGAGCACACTTAATGCCTTTGCCGGAGAATGAAAAATGCCTGGGGTAGATAGTGTTGGCGGTATTCACCTAGGGCTTCCAGGGCATTCAGTCAGTGCCATTCACCTATTGCCAGGTGGCCTGTGCCCTAGCAGCTCCTATAGCTTAGTTCCAGGCACCCTCCTGCCTACAGAATAGCTTCCTAATACAACCACACCTTTCTCAGACCCGTAACCCCCAACAGATAGAACTAGGTGTGGCCGATCATTTCCGACTCTGGTGCCCTGATACTTCCCATCGTTGTTACCGCATCCTTTGACTCTATCCTCAGCGGACATCTCATGGCCAGTGGAGCAGGTACATGCCGTGCATAGCAGTCGGCTTCGTCCTGTGACCTTTGAGCGCCGGGTCCAAGTTTGTGTTCATGTACAAACGTAGCACCGGACGCGGCGCACTGAAACGTATACTCGTCGAGGCATTGGGCTGACGCTGCAGCCGACACTGGTGGGCATGTACGCCAACAGACGAAGCGAGGACCGAGCCGCGACGACGGGGCTGCGGGACTTCATCTTGACCATTGGCAGCGCATTCGGCCTCGTTGTTTCAGGCACCTTAGCCGCGACCTAACGCAAGGTGGTTACATGGATGAAAAAGCGGTGGCAAGTCTGATGAGCTCGATTCGTGCGCTCGACGTCGTGAAACTTGAGGATAAAAAAATGGAAAGGACACGAGCAGTATACATGAAGGGGGTGCACTGCATCTTCATACTCTACGCAGTCTGCGCTGCGCTGGCTTTGGCCTTGGCTCCTGGAGTGGGCAATGCGGACCTGAAGGTCAAGGGCCCTCCTGCTGAGCATCCAAAGGCGCTGGAGGCACCTGGCGACGATGGGGCTGGAAGAATGAGCAGAGCAGGGAGAGGGAAGGCTGAGAGGGAGAGCTTGATTTGACTTGACTGGTTTTAGATTCCACATGTTTGCGGCGGAGATTTACATGCACAAGAAAGGCAGAAGAGAAAGGGTAGCGTTCAGATCCATAGTCACATCGCCCAACGTTGGAAGAGCGGCAGACCATGGCGTTGTAACAGGTTGACCACGCTCAAAGGCTAGAGATTCCCTCGATCGAGGATGAATGGACTATGATCACCGTCGACGAACCAGTCTCAAGCTACACCACCACTCGTCAATCGCTGGATTTCCGGTGCCGGTATCGCCGTAAGTGGCCCACCTGCGAGAACACCACACCCCACGCCCACACACACAGACACAGACACACAGACACACTTTGAGGCACATGCCGCTTATCCCAGGCCGCCAACGTTGGGGGCGCCGCCAGTCGGCAGCGTCCGGGCCGACGCGCGCACAACGTTTTGCCCCCCCGCGCCCGATGGCGGCGGGGTTCAGCGCGGGGAGAGAGGGCGGCGGCGTCACAGAACGCCATGTCCGAGCCGCCCCCTTGTACAAGCATGACTGTCCTGTCTGTCTGTCTGCCGTCGCTCTGCAGAATCAACTTCTCATGCAGACTCACCCACATGCAGCTGTTGACAGACTCGTGATCACAGTTCAGTGCCGACACAAGCCACTAAACCAGACCTTTCCAAAGCATTAAACTCACCATGGCCAACGAACTGTACAGGCTCACAGCCAGTGAGGTCGCAGCCAAGGTGCGCTCCGGCCAAGTCACTCTTGAGGAGTACGCTCGCTCGCTGCTCTCGCGCATCGAGGCACGCGACCCCGTCGTTAAGGCCTGGGCATACCTCGACCCCGAGCGAGTCCTCGCCGAGGCGAGAAGGCTGGACCAGGTGCCCCCGGAGGAACGCGGCCCGCTGCACGGCGTGGCCATTGGCGTAAAAGATGTCATCTACACAAAAGGTGAGAATCTGCCGTGATGCGTTCATCCTCTCCCATCGCTGCACGGCGCGTGTCCCGACGAATTGACAAGCTGACGCGCCAAGACATGCCCACGCAGTTCAA